AAGACATAGACAAGCACACCACACATAGACACACAAACCGACTCACGAACACACACAAATAGACACCCAAATAAACAACAAGAAGCACACATATACACCCAAGCATGGAAACACACACAAACACACATAAACAGACACACAAACACGTAGACACACACATAAATATAAACATAGAGAAACTTACAGAAGCACACAAACAGACATAACCACACATAAACACACACAAAAAAAACACAAACACCTAGACGCACACAAATGCACATACATCCAAAAACACGCACACACACAGACACCATACAAACACATAGACACACACCCAGACTCAAACACACAAATAGACACACACAAAGACAAACATACAAGAACACATATACACCCAATCATGTACACACCAATAGAAATACACACACACACATAGAGGCACAAACACAAATATAAAGAAACACACAAGCACAAATACACGGACAAACACACACTGTTACACAATAACACACAAACACAAAAAGACAAATACACATATATAGACACAAACACACACAGGAACACACAAATACACACACAGAAGCACATAAACACACAAAAAGGAACACATAGGCACATGCACGTATAAACACATATTACTCATACATACACACATACACAAACATAATCACACATACACAAAAAGACATACACAAACACACACATGCACACAAAAAGACACACACACAAAGGTACGCATCGAAACTTACATACTCACACAAAGACAAAGGAACACAAACACACCCACAGACACACATATAGACAAACACACATAGAGGCATACAAGCACACACAGGTGCACTCACACCAAGATAGACATATATATATATATATATATATATATATATATACACATACACAAATACATACAAAGAGAGAGACTAAGACACACATTAAGCCATATACACACACATAAACACACGCATATACACAACCACAGACAAACACATGAATACACAAATATAGACACACACATAAAAATAAAGAAACACACAGACACAAGCACACATACACACACAAACACATGCATAAACACGAGCAGAAAAACATAAGGACACACACACAAACGTAGATAGACACATACACGAATACACACACAAACACAAACACATACACACAATGATAGAAACAAAGATACACAGCCACACAAAAACATAAAGACACACACAGAGGCAATAGACAAATATAGTCTCACACTACAAGCACACACTCACAAATAAACACACACATAGACACATGCACAAAAATAGACACACAAATAAGTAAATAGAAACATACAAGCACAATCACAAGCACATGCACACAGAGAAACCCATAGACACATACAGAAACACACACACAAAAAAAACCCAAAGACACACACCCTCACATGTAGACACACAAATACACAAAAACACAGCCACACAAAGACACTTAGACACAAACACACACTTAGACGAGAAAAACACGCACAAAGATACACAAAGACAAACATGCACACATATAAAAACAAAGACACGGAGACACACAAACACACATTAAGGCACACATACACACAAACACACACATAGACAACCACACAATCAATTTTAACCGAGATGAGGAACAAAAGCAAATATATAGGGCTTTCATGCCCTATATGTTCTCATGATCAATACAAAATGTAACTAATAACCACCGTCTCAATTTTTCGACATCAGGGTAAGGCACAAAAAGATTGTATACCTCCTCTTCCATCATTTGTCGATTAAAATAATCACCATTACAACATAATCAATTTTAACCGAGATAAGGGACAGAAGCAAATATATAGGACTTTTATGCCCTATATTTTCTCATGATCAATACAAAATGTATCTAATAACCATCGCGTCTCAATTTTTCGACATCAGGGTAAGACATAAAAAAATCGTATACCTCCTCTTCCATCATTTGTCGACTAAAATAATCATCATACCAACACAATCAATTTTAACCGAGATGAGGGACAAAAGCAAATATATAGGGATTTCATGCCCTATATGTTCTCATGATCAATACAAAATGTATCTAAGAATCACCGTCTCAATTTTTCGACATCAGGATAAGGCATAAAAAGATCGTATATCACCTCTTCCATCATTTTTTGACTAAAATAATCATCATACCAACACATTCAACTTTAACCGAGATAAAGGACAAAAGCAAATATATAGGGCTTTCATGCCCTATATGTTCTCATGATCAATACAAAATGTATCTAAGAATCACCGTCTCAATTTTTCGACATCAGGATAAGGCATAAAAAGATCGTATATCATCTCTTCCATCATTTTTTGACTAAAATAATCATCATACCAACACATTCAACTTTAACCGAGATAAAGGACAAAAGCAAATATATAGGGCTTTCATGCCCTATATGTTCTCATGATCAATACAAAATGCATCTAATAACAACCTCAATTTATTAACATCAGGGTAAGGCATAAAAAAATCGTATACCTCCTCTTCCATCATTTGTCAACTATAATAATCATCATAACAACACAATCCGAGATGAGGGACAAAAACAAATATATAGGGCTTTTATGCCCTATATGTTCCCATGATCAATACAAAATGTATCTAATAACTACTGTCTCAATTTTTCGACATCAGGGTAAGACATAAAAAGATTGTATACCTCATCTTCCATCATTTGCCGACTAAAATAATCATCATACCAACACAATTAATTTTAACCAAGATGAGGGACAGAAGCAAATATATAGGGCTTTCATGCCCTATATATTCTCATGATCAATACAAAATGTATCTAATAACCATTGTCTCAATTTTTCGACATCAGGGTAAGGCATAAAAAGATCGTATATCTCCTCTTCCATCATTTGTCGATTAAAATAATCATCATACCAACACACTCAATTTTAACTGATATGAGAGACAGAAGCAAATATATAGGGCTTTAAAAAATGTATCTAATAACCACCGTCTCAATTTTTCGACATCAAGGTAAGACATAAAAAGATGGTACACCTCATCTTCCATCATTTGTCGACTAAAATAATCATCATACCAACACAATCAATTTTAATCGAGATGAGGGACAGAAACAAATATATAAGGCTTTCGTACCCTATATGTTCTCATGATCAAATACAAAATGTATCTAATAACCACCGTCTTAATTATTCGACATCAGGATAAGGTATAAAGAGATCGTATACCTCATCTTCCTTCATTTGTCGACCAAAATAATCACATTACAACAACACAATCAATTTCAACCGACATGAGGGACAGACTAAAATAATCACCATTACAACACAATCAATTTTAACCAAGATGAGGGACAGAAGCAAATATATAGGGCTTTTATGCCTTATATTTTCTCATGATCAATATAAAATATATCTAATAACCACCGTCTCAATTTTTCGACATCAGAATAAGGCATAAAAAGAGTGTAAACTTCTTCTTCCATCATTTGTCGACTACTTAAATAATTATCATACCAACACAATAAATTTTAACCGAAATGAGCAACAGAAGCAAATATATAAAGCTTTCATGTCTTATATGTTCTCATGATCAATACAAAATGTATCTAATAACCACCGTCTCAATTTTCGATCAGGATAAGGCATAAAAAGATTGTATATCTCCTCTTCCATCATTTGTCAACAAAATAATCATCATATCGACTCATTCAATTTTTAACGAGATAAGGGATAGAAGCTAATATATAGGACTTTCCAAAATGTATCTAATAACCACCGTCTCAATTTTTCGACATCAGGGTACGACATAAAAAGATCATATATCTCCTCTTCCATCATTTGTCGACTAAAATAATCATCAAACCAACACGATCAATTTTACCCGAGATGCGGGACAAAAGCAAATATATATGACTTTTATGCCCTATATGTTCTCATGATCAATACAAAATGTATCTAATAACCACCGTCTCAATTTTTTGACATCAGGTAAGGAATAAAAAGATCACATATCTCTTCTTCCATCATTTGTCAACTAAAATAATCATCATACCAACACAATCAATTTTAACCGAGATGAGGGACAAAAGCAAATATATAGGACTTTCATGCCCTATATGTTCTCATGATCAATACAAAATGTATCTAATGATCGTCGTCTCAATTATTCGACATCAGGGTAAGGCATAAAAGATCGTATACCTTCTCTTCCATCATTTGTTGACTAAAATAATCACCATTACAACACAATGAATTTTAACCGAGATGAGGGACCGACTAAAATAATCATCATTACAACATAATCAATTTTAATCGAGATGAAGGACAGAAGCAAATATATAAGACTTTTATGCCCTATATTTTCTCGTGATCAATACAAAATGTATCTAATAACCACCGTCTTAATTTTTCGACATCAGGATAAGGCATAAAAAGATTGTAAACCTCCTCTTTCATCATTTGTCGAGTAAAATAATTATCATACCAACACAATCAATTTTAATTGAGATGAAGAACAAAAGTAAATATATAGGGCTTTCATGCCCTCTATGTTCTCATGATCAATACAAAATGCATCTAATAACAACTGTCTCGATTTTTCGAATCAGGATAAGGAATAAAAAGATCATATATCTCCTCTTCCATCATTTATCGACTAAAATAATCATCATACCAACACAATCAATTTTAACCGAGATAAAGGACAGAAACAAATATATAGGGCTTTCATGCCCTACATGTTCCCATGATCAATACAAAATGCATCTAATAACAGCCTCAATTTATCGACATCAGGATAAGGCATAAAAAGATCGTATACATCCTTGTCCATCATTTGTCGACTAAAATATCATCATACCAACACAATCAATTTTAATCGAGATGAGGGACAAAAACAAATATATAGGGCTTTTATGCCCTATATGTTCCCATGATAAATACAAAATGTATCTAATAACCACCGTCTCAATTTTTTGACATCAGATAAGGCATAAAAAGATCGTTTATCTCCTCTTTCATCATTTATCGGCTAAAATAATCATCATATACAAGGCTTTCTTACCCTATATTTTATCGAGTTCAGGGACAAAGTCAAATATATAGGATTTTAACACCCTAAATTTTCCCACCATGAATACCAAATACATCGAATCATAACCATCTCTATTTGTCGACATCAAGGTCAAGTATAAAAAGATCATATACCTTTTTCATCATCTGTCGACTGAAAGACTCATCATTTAAATGCAACCAATTTTTCCTGAAATAAGGGACATTGACAAATACATAAAGTTTTCACACCCTATATTTTCTCACAAAAATACCAAATACATGTAATAATAAGGGTCTCAATTTTTTGACATCAATGTTAGGCATGTTCACAGAGGATCATATATTTTTACCAGGTTTAGGGACAAGAACATTATTGTACATATGCATCAAATGCACTACTTTCAAATCCCCAACAAACCCAAGAATAGGTGTGGGTGAAGTAAGCCCTCCAAATCAAATGAATATCAATTAATAGATAGGCAATGCAGGAACCAAGCATGTCCCCAAAGCCATAATGGCCAAAGGAAAATATGAAAAAGGATACATGTCAACCGTTCGATGCAAAAGCATGGAACCAGCCAACAGAAACATCCCAAATACCACTCATACATCATTACGTACGCCAAACTCGACACCACCAAACGAATCACACCCCGCATTCCCAAAGGTATGCAAGCAAATGGAACATCAAGTAATGTCAAGTCTGACATCGCTAGGCATGAAAACCTATGAGACATATAAGGCTTTCTTACCCTATATTTTATCGAGTTCAAGGACAAAGTCAAATATATAGGGTTTTAACACTCTAAATTTTCCCACCATGAATACCAAATACATCGAATCATAACCATCTCTATTTGTCGACATCAAGGTCAAGTATAAAAAAATCTTATACTTTTTTCATCATCTGTCGACTGAAAGACTCGACATTTAAATGCAACCGATTTTTCCTAAAGTAAGGGACATGGACAAATACATAAGGTTTTCACACCCTATATTTTCTCACAAACAAATACCAAATGCATATAATAATAAGGGTCTCAATTTTTCAACATCAATGTTATGCATGTTCACAAACAATGCGAAAGGCATGTTCATCATTTGTCAACTAAAATAATCATCATACCAACACAATCAATTTTAACTGAGATGAAAGACAGAAGCAAATATATAGGACTTTCATGCCCTATATGTTCTCATGATCAATACAAAATGTATCTAATAAACACCGTCTCAATTTTTTGACATCAGAATAAGGCATAAAAAAATTATATACCTCCATCATTTGTCGACTAAAATAATCATCATACCAACACAATCAATTTTAACTGAGATGATTGACAGAGACGAATATATAGAATTTTCATGCCCTATATTTTCTCACAATGAATAAAAAATGTGTGTAATAACAATCGTCTCAATTTTTCGACATCAGGGTCAGCATAGAAAGATCATATACCACATTCATCATTTGTCGACTAAAATAATCATTATAAAATAATATTTTTACATAAATGAGGGAATGAGACAAAAACATTAAATAAAGTAAAGTAAGAAAACTAGACGTGTTCCTATGTGACTCTTGTTGGACACTCAATAGTCTCTCATCACACTTTCACAAGTTCTAATTAATAAATGAAATTACCCAAAAAAAAATAGAAGTTTGAGTAGGCACTTGGAACCTCTCAAAACCATTACCAAGAGAAAGGCCTTTACAAGAAAAAAGTAAAATAAAAATGAAATACAAAATATAATTAACAAACTGAAAAATGTAAAAGTGTTTCCTAATATTTCACTCATCTCTTTAGTGTTTGATCTTTTCAAGCTCTCCATAAGACAGTCTCACCCAAGTGGCAAGTCTTCCTAGGCTATTATCAAAATTCCAAAATGCTACTTTCACTTGAAAATTCAGCACCAAAACAACATTAGAAAAGTTTTTTAAAAAATCAATAAATATAACTAAACTCTAAAGTATCGCAACCATATGATATTCCCAATCCCATATAGGTTGTTCCTTAATTCCAACAAACTCAAATTCAATAAAATCAAAAGTGAATAGCTATGTCTTTCAAGTTTTAGATTGAAATAAAAGATGCAATAATGTTCACTCTACACAGCCTATAATGAATAAGGGAGCAATTTCATAATCAATTTAAAATGATCCAAGCCAAAGAGCAATCAATCTAATAAGTACCCCAGCTGCATTGTTGAATTCGGGGAACGAATTCCCATTGTTGTATGTCACTTTGACTAGCTCATCCAAGGTGTAACCATATAGTATATCATCCTTTTCTAGCTGTTTGTTCAAACCTTCTATAAAATTCTGATGATATTCACCCAGTGCATGTCAATTGTGCTCTAAGGCATCCTAAGAAATATTGAAGCAGCAAAACAAAGTGTTAATTATCAATTATGATAACAATGATATAAAGGGCCAACTAGTGGCTGCTTTGTGTAATAATGAGTATACAGTTTATATGAGTAAAAAAAGGGTTATAGGATTCCTGATTATCAATTTGTCACATAGGCTCTAAGTCTTATAAAAATATAACAACGTCAGTTTACATCATGAATGGAAATTTTCTTGTTTCTCGTTCCCTGCCCTCCTTAAAAAGTTATAATTAGTTGTCATTTTCCTCTCTTGCTATCTCTGAATTTTGAAATATGTTGCCCATGCAGCAAAATGTAATACCTTGTTTCCATTTTATCCATGATAGAGGCAAATTAATTGAAGGTGTTGAATAAACACAATGGCTGTAATAAAAAGAAATTATCCAACAGAAATAAATTTTCACAAATAGTTTTTGGAAAAGGGTAACTTACATTTTAGAGTTCATCGAAGATCGGATGTAATTGTTTCATCATAAACACAACCTTCTATGTAATATCATCCCTTGGTCAAATATAATATTCTTTTTCTCAATTCCTGGTTTCTTTCTTCATCATTATAATGGCTTAAGTGGAAATAGTCATTTAAACTACCTATGCAATTATTCCTCTGATAAGCTTACTGCTCAATTAGATGTCTCAACTAATTCAAGCATATAGGCCAAAACAGTATAATTATCTTCAAACAAAAATATGATTCAGGAAATGGAGTGAATAACTTACAAGTTCATAAGGAGGTGTCTTCAAGCCATAAAATGCAGTAATTTTTGAGGACCTAGGTGAACCATCAAACCTCTTTTTCTGCTTAAAATACAATGAGGGAAACATGTCAGCACAAATAAGAAAGGAAATTGTCTTAGGGAAGAAATCTCCTGTGAGAAATCAGGATTCAGCAATGATATAAAATCAATTCTAATCTATAAAAAGGTTAAAAAAAATTTAATTTTTTTTTTAAAAAAAGATCCATGGCTAATAGTGAAATTTATTTAGCTTGCTCAAATACTTTAGAAACAAATTAAAAGCAATTCTGAGGGTTTCACTACTGAAAACTTTTCGGTAGAGAAGCTTACAAAAACTCTTCTAAGCTTGTATCCAAACATCCTCAAATAAAGATAGAGAGAAAGAAAGAAAAACTTGTCAATTTATTTTAGTGTTTTAAAACTTCCTTAAATAACAATTCCAAGCTATTATGGATTTTAGTTTAAAGTTACTTTATATTATGCTTAAAGTAGATTCTTATCTAAATTCAAATAAACTTTAGATGTATTAACCAATTCTCAATCAAAACAGTACTAAAATATGATAAAGGTTTCTTATTATTCTAAGGACTCTTTCTAAAAGCCATTTGTCTTTCCTATACAATTGCAACTTTATGAATAACTTTAAATTAATACTCATCTCATGTAACCAATTCTTAAAGAAAACCATTTTTTGCATAAAAATATTTTATCACCTCACCCTCTTAATAATGGTTTTGGTGCCATGTTTTCTAGACTCAAAATACTTATCCTGAACCACAAAAGGAAGTAGGGTATGCAACCAAAAGACATAAACAAGAATTAGGTTGACCAAGAAAATTTGGAGTCATGCTCCTTACAATAGAGGTAAAATCCTAAAAAGAAAACTTTAGAACAAAAAACATGCACATAGATATAGTAGCTATGCAGAATCCTAAAGTGCTCCATTACTTTATCTTTCCTCTTCTTTGCATTTTGGTGTTATACAAGAATTCTATTCTTTTTTCACTCCAAGTATACCAGCTAGCTTGGTTTTTATTCACAAATTTCTCTCAACATATTCTACCCCTTATTCCTCCTTTGGCTTTCATACACTTGCAGCCTAGTAAGCCCATTCCTCTTCCAAGCATAATGTAATATATATATATATATATATATATGTGTGTGTGTGTGTGTGTGTATATATAACAATGATTGACCACTGTGAAACAGGATAACACTCAAAAAGTCAAAAAATATTTCAGCCACAACCTTAAACCATATACCTTCAACCATATATCCATCATCATTGACCTAGCTTGTCAAATACATGCTTCAACAAATATACATTTCTTGCAATCATTTTTGGATTTCTATTCGCAGCCACAGGCTATTTCAACTTCATACTATATATTTTTATGATCATTCTTTTCACATCACAAGTTTCACAAATGCTGAAACAATATAATTATAATAGAAGTTTTAAGCATAAATAGGCTGCAAGATTTAAATTAACTCAGGGCTAGATTAGCCTCACCTTTCATGCATTCCATCTCATCTCCCTTCACAACTCTGTCAATTATTGTTTGGTTCAAATTTTTGGGGAACCAAATTCCTATCCTGTAAAAAGCAAACAATGCATCAAGGAAGTAAAAGTTCCAAGTTCAATTCTCATCCTAAAAAGAGCAAGGAGTGTAAAATTAAACACACATAAAAGACAAGAAGAAAAAGCTAGCAAATGGCTATTAATATCTAAGAAATAATATTGATAAAAAACTTAAGGAAATCTTGTAATGAATGGCATTAGAAACAAATCTGGCTTAACTCACTCCCAAAAGGCCAACACAAGGGAAGATGATTAACAAATTGCGATAAGGAGTAGTCTAGCCATATTCTTAGTCAATGTAGGGCTTTTAACAAACACATCTTACACCTAGAACTACACATCTAGTATATCCGATTTGAAGGAGTCAACACTTTCAAGTGGTCCAATACTAGCTTGAGGGAAGAGGATTGTCCAAGTCTTGAAAGGAATGTTCTAGCCATATTCTTAGCTTGAGTGGGATACAAAACAAGATTTTAAACAAAATTCATATATTTGATTTTGGGTTGATAAATTGATTTTGAGTTGAAGGAACTTTAGGTAGCTTTTGTTTTCGATAAAAATATTATACTAAATTTTCCTACTAACTTCCTTTTAAATAAAAGGTCAAAAAATAAATCACATTCCTTTAAGGAAAAAATTGGATTAAAATATTATAATAATTAGTAATAATTATTATAGTTTTACAATACTATAAAATAAATTGTTACTAAATATAAATTAAAAAACAAATGTATAAAAAAATTATCGAAATAAAAGAAAAAAAATCAATATATATATAATAAAAATAATTAGATTAAAATATTTTAATAATTATTAATGAAAATTAATTATCGATTTCATCTTAAATTTATTAGTTTTAAAAATATTTTTACATTTTAAGTGGATAGTATTTGTTAATTTTTTTTTAATTATTTTCTTTCTTTTGTTGTTTTTAGTGGATAAATATATTTTTCTATATCTTCAAATAATTTAGGGATACTAAGTAATGGATAATATTTCATCTGCTAATTTCATTAAATTTTTATTATATCAGTTTTAATTCATATTTTTAAGATATATAAAATATTTGTAATAAAAAAAATAAAAATATTAATAAATGATTGACATTTTAAAAAAAAATAATTAAGCTCTAATTGATGAAAATAAATAAATAAAAACTATTAATAAAATGAATTTATTGATAGAATTGCTAGGTTTTAAGCATAAGAAATGCCCAAGATTAGCCTGGTAGAAACATTACAAGATTAGCAGAGGCAATACATCTTCAGCATTCTAAAAAACAGGAAGAAAAAAAAAGAGAAAATTAAAACAAAACAGATGAGCAATGCAATTCAATATGATTTATAAATAATTAACAAAAAATTGTGTATGCTCCAATTCCCCTTAATGGATAGATACTACGTTCAAGTTAAATTTAGAAATGGCAAGAAAATCATTATGGAATTTGGCACGTACCTAGGACAACTAAAATAGTGTAATCTTGTGAGACATCAGGTGGGATCTCAAGCCTTTTTCACTTCAAGCCAATAGCTGCCACAACCAATAGGAAAATATGCATGAGTATTTAAGTAAAATAATAAATATGAAGAGAAAATTTGGAGTTTGCTCCTTACAATAGAGGTAAATCGCCTAAAAAAACAACTGTAGAACAAAAAACAAATGCACATAGATGCAGCAAATATGCAGAACCTTTATCTTTACTCCTCTAGTTCCATCACTTTATCTTACCTCTTCCTTCCATTTTGGTCTTATACTAGTATATCCTATTTGTAGAAGTGAACATTTTCAAGTGGTCCAATACTAGCTTGAGTGGGGGGATACAAAACAAGATTTTAAACAAAATTCATATATTTGATTTTGGGTTGATAAATTGATTTTCAGTTGAAGGAACTTTAGGTAGCTTTTGTTTTCTATAAAAATATTATACTAAATTTTCCTACTAACTTCCTTTTAAATAAAAGGTCAAAAAATAAATCACATTCCTTTAAATTTAATTTTGAATAAAATCAATTTTGCAAAGACTTGCTATTACATTTTACCAAGAGATAAGCTGCATTCAAGCACTCAATCTGTTTTACCATTTACCAAAGAACAAACTCTTTTTATCAAGTCCTAACTCTTGAAGACGCATATCAACACAAGGTATTTTAACAACCAGCCAAGCCTGGTAGTTTTAAGAATTTTGTACAATACAAACCTAACTTTATACAATAGAAATTTTTCTCAACTCAAGATAAAACATCAAGCTCTCCAGCAGAAAATCTATAGAATGGAAAGAGCAAGGAAAATTGAAAACAGACTTCAGGAAAACATTTTTAAACAGAGTCAAGACACTATATAGCATAGCAAACAACATCAAAACAGAAAATGAGTGAAAATAGAAAACAGACTTGAGGAAAACATTTCTAAACAGAGTTAAGACACACTATATGGCATAGCAAACAACTTCAAAACAGAAAATGAGCTTACTTTTACCATCATTTATTTTTATAGACACACATATTAATTGTTTTTCTTGTGACCCTTTCTTGCAACCAGTTAACTGATTTCCTTTACATTTTTCTCTGCTTCAATTTATAGCTACCTAACTAGTTAACTACTTAAAAAAATTCCTTATAGGGCCTAAATAATGACGGTTAGATCACTTGATTACTTGGGTGACTATCCCCTATAAAATAATGTTCTACATCGAACCTTCAGGCTTAGTTTTGGACCAGGCATAGATATATTGGCCCTCGTTTCATTGTGATTGATCTTTTATTCTTGTGGGCTCCCTATTTCTCTCTCACAACTATGTTCCTTAAAAGGCATAAACATAATTTTTCCACTCTTCCAAAAAATTGCAAACAAGGCTTTCATTTTTGTGTCACCCTCTCAAGTTGTCTGCAGAAGAACTATTTAGCTAATACTTTAACTATAGAAAAAATAATATTATAAATTTTATAAAGCACCTAATCATCTGTGTGACAAAACTTTCTTAGACAAAAGAATGTATGATAGAACTCTCAGGCTCCAACAATAAAATAATTTTTTTAAAATAATGAAACTAATAAAAAACTTGGAACTTATTCTTCAACAAGAGAAGTTAATAAAGATGCTCTAAAGGCTAAAGCTGTAGAACTGAAAAGAAATTGAAAAACCTTGCCTCAAAACTCAAGAGGCCCTGCCATTTTGAGTTAAGACAATTAAAGGCACACATTGAATAATAAATGCAAAAACTATGTTCATATCTTATGAGACAAACGGATTGAGTCTGAGGAAAACAAACCATGCAAACAACAACCGTATTAGGGAAAAATTTGGAAAATAATGTCACACATATAGACAATCAAAAAGAAAGATAAAGAACCGAAAAACAGAAATAAAAAAAATATATCTTGAAACAAGAACATGGAATCAGCCAAAATATTAAATGTGGAAATTATCCAAAAAAGGAACAACATTCACCTCCAATTTCCTCCACATAGACATCATTTTGATTTAAATAAACTTTCTCAATATACCGGTTTTAAAAATGAAATTAAAAATTTGAATTATAAAAACTAAATTAAAATCTTTGCTAGTCCTCAATAATACAGAGGGCAGAAAAAAATTCACAGAGCAATGAATAGAAATATTGATTGTTGAGCTGTAGGTATAGCAAAATCAGCCAATAGTTCGGTAATATGCACCGGAATTCAGAAAATCACAAACCCTTCAACAAACAAACATACAGACACATATACAACTCTAAACACATCTTGAGAAAAAAAGTGTTGATACATACATAAGAAGGGTAAAATACATATATGTACTATAAAAGAAACATTACATAACCTGAGAAATTATTAATAAATTATATCAAAGCTAAAAATGAAAATAAGAAAGAAAGCCAAAGAACTGAAAATTAACAAAGATCATGATATGAAAATTCCATTCTTTTATTCACTCCAAGTATACCAACTAGCCTGGTTGTTATTATTCACACATTTCTCTCTTAACAAATTCTACCCCTTATCCCTCCTTTGGCTTTCATACACCTGCAGCCTAATAAGCCCACTCCTCTTCTAAGTATAACATAATATATATATATATATATATAACAATGATTTACCGAAATCCAGGTAGCTTATTATCAAGAAACGAGAGGAATCTGCAAACATGAAAAAGCTTCACAAAATGCTACTTACAGAAGAAATGTAGTAGCAATATTACTTTTTACAGGATTAAACACCTAAAGAAAATGGTAGGTCCAGATTCTTTTGACAAATATTCATGGGTCTATTTGTAGCAAAAATAAATAGACAATTGATGAAGTCCAGTGCTCTTGAAAGCTTCAGATATTAAGTGAATGCACTGTAATAGTTTTATATCTTTGAGATGAGATGTCACAGGCCCCTCATGCAAGTTTTATTTGGGCAGCACCCTTTACTTGATGAAATTTAATTTAATTATGAATAATTGGGCATGTTAATGGATTTACATCTCTAAAGCAACAGAAGTTACAGATAATGTTAATCAATAATCAGTATGAACTGACCTGGCCATATACTTGGCCTTCTCAGCTTCCTCCCATGCTACTGCACGTGCTTCAATGAAACTCTTAGGTGGTTCTGCTTTAGTTTTCAAGGAACTGGATGCATCCTTATCCTCCTCTTCTTTGCTACCCATGCAGCAATGTTCATTTTACCTAGTATCTAATAAAGGAATCAAACCATATGGATCTATATATCAAGAATTATGTACAAAAAAACAAATAAAGGAAAACTTGAGGCAGGAATGTGAGTATGAAATCTCGTGACAAGAAAAACTCAAACTACTATACGTGCAATGAAATTAAAATATTCAGAGTTTAAAATCAGAGAGTCAAACAACTTACCTTCAAAGTCAGAACCTGAATCAGGATCATAAACTATATCCAAATATGAAGATACAATAGAAACTCGCCATTAGTTTCATCTTCAACAACGACATCATCCCTAGCCCGTACAGAAGACCATGGAAAAGTCACTACAGAATACAAAGAAGAGGAGAATGAGGAGTTTGAAGACAAGACTACAGAAAAATTTAAGCAGAAGCTTCTATCACTTCATTAGGAATTAAACTAAGGATAAGGACAATTACAATTAATAGTCCAACACATCAAGCAGAAAGAAACCTAGTACAATTTACACCACAAGATCAATCACATTTTTAATCTTTTACATCACTTATATCCCCTTGACATTTACTCACGTCACAGTTTTTATTAACCAGGCAAGCGCAAAGACAACATGCAATAGAAGTATTTGCTTTTGAAATTCAGATACGGAAACACCCTGCCAAATAAACACTAGTGTAACCAAATGTAAGATCAAAGTCCTTTTGATAAGAGGAGAAGCTAACTTAAGGCCTATTTGGATAATCTTCTCCAAAAACATTTCTAGGAGAGAAAAAAAATAGGAAGATAAAATGAAATAAATTTTTCCAAAAGCTATAATTAGCTTATGTATAAACTAATTTGTAGAAGTTTTCTTTTATTCGCTTTCACCAAAATCTTATTTTTAACTTATGTATAAGGCTGATTTTAACTTATGGTAAAGTTTATTTCAATTTTACTTCCTATTATTTTTTTCCTTAGAAGTGATTATGGAGAAGTTTACTCAAGCGTACCCTTAAAAGAAACTCAAGCCTAGACAATTAGTCAACCACCCCGTGCAAAGTGAAACACAATTATGTCTACAAAATGCCTCTAACTTAATCTACAACCATTTATTTGAGCATTACAATCCACAGAACAAATACACTCAAAAGGATAAAGCATTTGACATTTTGACTAGTGAAACAATAGTAAATCAAGATACAACAACCTGAAGGCTGAAGCCAAACCTTAGACCTTCCCTAAACAAAATCTATGGCAATGTTATTGGCTTTTGTCACACACGAAACCGGAATTAACAACACAACCAAACCATGCCAATAGCCAAACATCAAACCCCAAATTCACAATCACTTACGGTACTAAACCAAATCAAAAATTAAAAAAAAAAAAGTGTAGTTATTACCGTGCTTGCCCATCGATCCTTGGCGTCAACTTCGGCAACTTTCTGGAGCAAATACTCAACGACCTCAGTGAATCTCTCACACGCGGCAACATGAAGAGCAGTGTGATAATCAATATCCCTGAAATTGACATAGCACCTCAGTCTTCTTGTTTTCAAAACTTCAACCGATCAAAAATATCGAAATCGCGTTTCGCATAAACACAAAAAGAAAAATAACAAAACCAAAACAGATTCAAGTAACAAACAAGCAAAATGAAATTAACAAAAAAAATGGTTCATGAAAAGGCATGCGTCCAAACTAGGGAGTAAAGAAAATAAAGAAGTTCCAAAATTAGGAAAAAGAAAGTAAAAGAGAAAATCGAAAAGATTATGCCTACCAGAAACTATGGGATTGGAAAGGGATCAACAAGAACGAAGCTCCATCGAGGCACGTTAACTTAGGTTAGGGTTTCGGATCGAAGTGTGATTTCAATGTGTTTCGGATCGAAGTGCGGTTTCGAAGAGGGTTTCGGATCGGAGTGCGGTTTCGGATCGTTATCTCACATTCTCACTCTCTTTCTTCATTCTTGCTAAGAGCAGTGGCCTCTTTGTCCCTAGCTCACTGGGGTACCAGGATCTCCCCTCATAGGTCTATTGATAGCTCCGCCTTAGTCGAGTGAAGTAGGCTGGGCTCTTTTAAATTAGCCATGCCAGGCCTTTTCCTCAATGCTGGCATCAACATACATGAGTCCCTTCTCTGGGGCTTTCTTGTTCTTACTTGTATCGTTTGGGTGGGGCAGATTGGTTATTCCTGATAAAAATATATATTTTTTATATCTGAGATAAAAATAAAATAAACCTGCTAAGTACCGGCTAAAATAAAATAAACCTGATAAAAATATATATTTTTTATATCTAAAAATACATGATAATACAAAAAAGAAAAAAAAAAAAACTTATATTACTTTTTCTTAAGGAACTCAAAATCAATATTAAGTCTTTTAGATAATATAATGACTGTAATTCAATTTTTTTCTATTGTAGACCAGTCAGTGTTTTAATTTAATTTTTTTCATCATCCATTCCTCCTATTTATTATTTATAATACTTAACATAAAACAATTGTTTGTTGATACCTAAAATTTTGTTTTATTATATATAAGACTGAATTTATATTATTTTATGTACTAATTATTTTTAAATTAAAATATTTTTAACTAAATAAATTCACTTAATTTAATAACATATATTAATTTAAAAGACATACATAATAATTGGTTAAGAGAGAATAATATTAATTATGAAGAAAAAAGTAAATCCTTACTAACATAAAATAGTTGATAAAAATTTAACACTAACCCTTACTTTATGTGTCTCTCCTAGTGGACAACATCCAGTGACCCATACACTTGAAAATAGTACCATGGCATATATAATAATTCTCGAACAGGTGATCACTAAGTCACAAGTCACATAATAGAGACTATAAAATATTTTTAAATTAAAAAGATCATTATTATTAACAAAATGAGCAGTAATTTTTTATATATTTTTTTCTTATTAAATCTTTAAATATATATTAATGAGAAAAAAAGTTAAAATATAAAATAAATTTATATTTTCGTCGAATCATCCTCCGAACATTAAAAAATTAATATTTATTAATAAATTTATTATAAAATAATTATTTAATTTAATATTTTATAATTTAAATTATTATATTAATCATTTGGTATGCGTTTCGAAATGTAATTCGGAGATTGTGTTAATCAGAATGTGAAAATGTTGCAAAACAGTCGTTTTCGCTAGTTAGTTACCCTCCGGCAAGCCCTTTCGGAGGCATTTTATTTATAGAAATATAGGTTTACCGTAACATCTCTGCTAAATTGATTGATTCAACCTTCAATTATGATGATGAAAATGAGGTAGCCACGTTAATTAATTTGTCAAAATGCTTAGAAGGGAAAAGAAGTTAAATCATTTCACTAAATATTGTCCAATTTTAGCAAGTAATTGACTATAATACCGAAAGTAATATCTACTGGTGGCCTTGAACACAATCAAGATGAATGCTGATCTAAGGTTTAATGAAGAGTATCAATTTTTTAATATTTATATAAATATGAAAATAAAATTTACATAATTAAATTATATAAAAAAATACTATTATAATAATAAATTAATCAACAATAATTAATTAATTGGTATGTGATATTTCTATTTCTTAATAAAAATTTACTTGTATTTTTAGAAAAATAAATCAGAAATGTTGAATATAAAGAGGAAACAAGAAAGTGTGATATATAACGACTTATTTCTTTTGATTTTTCTTTATCCTATATTTTTTTTATTATTAAAAAATAAGAATTATTTTAGAATTTCTCACTTTTTCATATATATATATATATATATAATCTCTTGACTCCAATGACGGAT